AAGGCCATTCTTTCTAGCTTTTAGTTTAATTGGCCGTGTAAATTGTGTAATAATTTGTTGTATTTTGTTGGCCATATTAGAACAGTCATCATCTAGAGTTTTGCCAGAGACCAATTCATCCCAGTTTAGTTCTTTGATTGAATCTTGGAAGTTTTGTTGTTCCTGTTTTGGTATTATATAGAACTCGGTGGCGGCCAAGGGTTTGAAGCGCTTTTTATTTAATTTTCTTGTAACCATCATGATTGTGATCAGACATTCCTGTAAGCAAATTGTATGATTTCAAGATCCTTTCTGACCTATTAGTAAAAGCTAGATCGATCTGGGTGTAGGTGGAGTTTGTAATTCTGGTAGGGCCAATAATTACCTGAGTCATATCCATATCATCCATAACCTTTTTCAATTTTTTCCTAACTTTAACTTCCCAATTAACATTTAGGTCGTCCATTATTATCCCCTCTTTTGCAAGATTGTGTTGTTTCAATAAAATGTCCAGCTTTTCGAAAAAATCCACGTTTGATGAAGGAGGCCTATGAATAACTACAAGAGTAAAAGACATTTGCTGTGACAATGAGACTGTCAGTCCAAGAAACTCCAATCAATTTTCATGTGTAACATCACAATTACAAGTATCCTTGGCATAAATCATAACACCTTCTCCCTTGGAACCCTGTCTGTCTTTCCTAAGCATTTTATAACCAGGTACAGTTAGTGTTGCTAAGGGCGAAGATGCATGGAGCCATGTCTCAGATAGGCAAAGGATTTGAGTCAGTGAGAAGGTGGTGGACCTGATCATATTTTGTTAGAATACTTTGTATATTTAAGTGTGCACAAAGAATGCCTTTTGGTTTATGTGTTGAATCCCATATTAGTTTAGAGTTATTAACAGTTTGAAATACCCTGAATCTTTTATTGACATCTACCATTGGCCCAGCTAACAGAGGTGGAGGCCCAGCAAGCAGTGGAGTTGGCCCCGGTAGCAGTGGTGGAGAGCCAGCTAGCAGGGGTAAAGGTCCAGCTAGAAGTGATGAAGGCCCAGCTAGCAAAGGTGAAAGCCCAGCTAGCAGAGGTGGAGATCTAGCTAGCAAAGGTGAAGGTCCAGCTAGCAGGGGTAAAGGTCCAGCTAGAAGTGATGAAGGCCCAGCT